TTTTTTTTTTTTTTAAGTGACTGAGTCGCAGCAGCTCAGGGCCGGGGCTGGGGAGGACGCGAGGGCGGCACTGACTCACCGTCCGCGGGGCAGCGGGGCTCGCGGGGCTCGGCTCGGCTCGGCTCGGCTCGGCTCGGCTCGGCGGCGGCAAGCGCTGGGTGCCGGGAGCCGGGAGCGCAGCTTTATAGCGCGCTGATAGACGGGGTCAGTTGGAGCGGCCGGGGCCAGCGGTGGGGGGCCCGGCCTGCCACCTTGCCTTATTTGGTCGCTTTAGCACCATCTAGGCCTGCCAAGGCCATTCATGGAGCCAAGGGCAAGAGAGAGGATCAGCTGGGGGGCTCCCGGACCATGTAAGGAAGAGGAGGGGGCAGCCAGAGGAATGGCCAAATAGGGAGCTAGGGAGGGGCAAGCAGCGAAGGGTAGGGGTCAGGGAAAGACTAGGCGACGCCAACCAACCCCCACCCCTTCCTGGGGTAGGGGAGCTCCCTGGGTGTGCTGTGGGTTTGTTCCTCCGGAGCCCTCCAGCCTGAGGGGCCGGTAACCCGGGGAAGGCTTGGCGCCCTGCCCAAGGCTAAGGGGTCCTGACAGCTGGGCTACAGTAGCAGCCTCTCGTCTTCCAGGCCTCGGAGTGGAGGAGCAGGTCGCTTGGCAGTCTTCTTGGGCCTCAGAGGGCGCCACAGCAGCACACTGGAGTGGCTGCCCAAGGGCCACCTGGGACAGGGCACCCTTCTTGTCCAGAACCCACCCGCCTGAGCTGGGCTGTGTGCATCCAGGTGGGAAAGCTGAGGTGAACCAACTTTGGTCCTAGCACGTGTGTGGCAGGGAGAGGCTGCCAATGCTTGCTGGAGAAGGGACCAGCACGGATGCCAGACGGCCCTCAACCATGCCGGGACCCAAGACTCCATCTGCAGGCAGGAAGTGAAAGCACAGATGCCAAAAGCAGTTGCCCCCTTGCTGGTGGAATATGACCATCTTTAAACTGGGAACAAAGATTGTCAAGGTCGTGACTCCCCTGAGAAAGCAAATACTTTTGCTGAAAAGATAACAGCAAGTTAAACCAGAAGAACAGATCAACCTGCCTTACTCAAAACAATCTGTGCACAAGCAGTGTCCTCATCTCAAGAATGAGTTAGAAATGCAGAGTCCCAGGCCCCGCCCTAGTCTCCTGAATCAAATCTGCTTTTCAGCAAGCTCCCCATTTGATTGGCACGTATGTTGAAGTGTGACACACTGGTAGAAATGACTGATACCATCTCATTGGTGGAAAACAGGTTTCGAAGAATCGAGACATGTGAGAAGGAAAAAGAAAGATGGCATGAGGTGAGGAGACTGGGGGAACAGGGAGACATAAGAGGGACACAGGCCGCTGGCTTGCCCTGGGGTGCCCCGACTAGCGCTTGAGTTTCTAATGCTTGTGCTTTCCCTCTAGTTCACACCAGTTAAAAATAGAACACTGGGCACAGATATCCCTCTCTAGAGTGGTCCTGGATTGATATGCTGAGAAGGCTGCTGATTAGATACTTGCCCAGAGTGGGGAATGCAAGGCCCTCACCTCTGAGCTCCCCGACCATGTTTGGGTTGGTGTGGAGAAGAAACTGTGGGAAAGCTGGGGGATGAAGCCAGGCGAGAGGCCTGGCTGGGATCTCACCCTGCCACACAGCAGGCATCTTACAAAGAGTACCCATTAACAGGAGGCAAAGCTAGATCTCTCGTGACTCAGGCAGATGGAGAAGAAGCAAAGAAAAGGAGAAACAGGGATGGCCTTAGAGCCAGACAGGCCAAACTTCAAATCCTGCCTCTGTCACTTGGCACTCACTCTGTATGCATTTCATCATAGGTGAGTCAGTTAACTTTCCTGATCCCCAGTTTTCCCCTCTAAAACTGTGTATCATAATTTTTACAAGGGTTATTGAATGTTATAATAATAAAAGAGACAAAAGATGTAAGTCACATAGAACATTCAAAGTGAGTTTGATTCAATACCATTAATGATACTTTTGGAGGCACCAGTAGCTATGTCTTCTGAGCTCAGTTCCATTCATTTACTCATCAAACTCTCACTGAGTCATCAATATCACATTGATTATAGGAAGAGAATTTTGCTAGTCTCAAGGATTCTGTGATAACACTGATCAGGACTCTTCCTCCATAATAATTGCAGAAGAGTAAGAGACAGTTGTGGTATATACATGCTGGGAAGGAAAAAAAAGTTGCATACCTGAGATAATAAAAAAAGGGAAAATCCAAGTTCGATTCCCGGTACCAAAAAAAAAGGGAGGGTGGAAGCACCTAAAAGAAAGTTCAGAGAAAGCCTCTGATGAAGTGTCATTTAATTGTTTATAAGGTGGAGTGGAACTGAAGTTCTTGAACCTTTTTAGGAGAGAAAGACAGTTTTTACTTGGTAATGGTGAATGGAAGAGTTCACTGCCACATGGGCAAAGGCTCCCTAGAACCTAACACCATAATATTGGAGTCCAATTGCAATACTTGAGTTCAGGAAGTCATTTCCAGCTCACCCACCCCAGGATCATAGGCCATCGCAGCAGGTGGGTAGATGAGTGCAGGACTACTGAAACAGCATTTGTCTTCAACACACGTTTTGCATTCTAGTCAATTCATTTTTGATACTGAAAACAAAATGTATTTTAATGTGTTATGTTTATAGTGAGAAAAATACTTTGTTCTTCAAGACTTATGGTGAAACAATATGTACCAATTCTCTAAGATGAATGTAATTATTACATATGACAAACATGTCCTAATAAAAATAAATCTTAATAAAAAGATTTATGGTGAAAACATTCAAAATCCTTTGATCTTGCATTTTGAAATACATGGTATATTATAGCCATTCTACTGTGTAACACCACACCAGAACTTCTTACTTCTACGGAGCTGTGACTTTCTACCCACTGATCACCCTCTCTCCGGACCTCCCCCACCCTACTCTTTTCAGTCTCTGGTAACCACCATTCTACTGTCAACTGCTATGAGATCAACATTTTTAGACTCCACAGCTGAGCGGGACCACATTGTATTTGTCTTTCTGTGCCTGGCTTATTTCATTTAACATCATCATCCCCAGTTCCATCCATGTTGTTGCCAACAATAGTATTTCATTCTTTTTATGCCTGAATAGTATTCCATTGTGTTTATATACCATATTTTCTTCATCTGTTGGTGGTCAGTTTGGTTGTTTTCATTTTTTGCCTATTATGATAATAGTGCTTCGATAAACATGGGAGTACAGATGTCTCTTTGACATACTGATTTCATTTACTTTGAATAGATAGCCAGTAGTTGGATTGCTGGGTTGTATGGTAGGTTTATATTTAATTTTTTGAGGAACTTCCATACCGTTCTGCTTAATGGCTAGACTAATTTGTATTCCTACCAACAGTGTGTACGGTTCCCTTTCCTTCATGTCTTAGGCAGCACTAATCTTTTGTGCTTTGTTAATAGGTGTTCTTACAGGGGTTAGATGATATCTCACTGTGGCTTTGATTTGCATTTCCCTGATGAGGGAGGTTGAGCCTTTTTATGCACTTGTTGGGCATACACACACACACACACACACACACACACACACACACATTCTTTTGAGAGATGTCAACTTAGAACAATTGACCATTTTTAATCAACTAGTTTTTTGCTATTAAGTTCAATGAGTTCCTTACGTACTTTTGGATATTAACCCTTTGACAAGACGTGTAGTTTGCAAATATTTTCTCCCGTTCTGTAGATTGTCTTTTCCCTTTGATGATGGTTTCCTTTGGTGTGGAGAAGCTCTTTAGTTTGATGTAATACCAATTGTCTATTTTTGTTTTTATTTCTTGTGTTTTGGGAATCTTGTCCTTAAAGGTTTGTGATTGTTCAATATTTACTATTGTATTACTACTCCATTTCCACATTGTAAAAATGTTGAACCCTGTATAGGTAGTGACAAAGAAATACATATGTTAATGCAAAAGTGAGATTCCATGACTGATTTTCATTTAACACAAATTTTCAGAGAGCCATTTAATTTGAAAAATGAGATTGGTTTCTGTTTCATCTACTTAAGTGTATAAAAATAACTTCTCTCTGTTGGTATTCTCTGGAAACACTGTGATAAAATATATATAACATCGAATTTATTATGTCAACCATTTTAAAATGTACAGTTCAACAGTATTAAATATATTCACAATGTTGTGCTATCAACCTCTAATTTTATTTTTAATGCTAGTTGTCACTACCTTAATTTCTAACTCCAGGAAACTCCCTTGCAGTTTGAGTGAGCCTGCTTCATATATCCTAGGAGGCAGGGAACCTCAGAACCGCATCTGCCTGCAGCCACACAGTTGAGCAAATGGAAGAGAGAGACTTCAAACCCAGGCACTTGGGTGAAGCCCTGTTGGTAATCAGCACCAAAAATGCCCTTCTGTCTACTGAGACTGCTGTTTCTCAGATGAGGAGGCTAGAATCACCTGCACCCTGGCTGCCTAATAGAAATTCAAATTCCTATGTTCTACCCTAGAAATCTGAATCCGCATTTTAAATGAGCCTTCAGCCCCCTTCCCCAGGTAAGTCTCTCCTTTTTCCACCACAGGCTTTCTTCCCTGAGCCCATGCAGCTTTGCTAGATGCAGCCCAGGCTGCCAGTGCTGGCCAGTGTCCAGTTTGGCTGACCTTGTTCACCCCAGTGGGATGGCAAAGCTGATAGGTCCGCAGGGTACTGGAGGGCCAGCAAGGCCTTTCACAGCACAGACATGCCATGAGGGTGATGTGCAAGGCAAGCTGAAGGAACAGAAGGTAGGACAGTCCCCGCTGCCCTTGCCTTGAGGGAAACCTGTTTCATCCACCATCTGCTGGGATCTGGAAGGGAGCCGCCAAGCTCCTCCCGGCACTGGGGGATTAGCAGTCACTTATCTCAGCTGTTCCTCCATTCAGAGGTGTCCCAGTATTTACAGAGAAGCCAGAAGCAGACCAAGCCACACTTAATTCCTTCCCAGAAGCCCTCCCCATTCCTTCCCGCATTCCGTGTGTTAAGGAGGCAATGGGCTTGGGGTCTCTGTAGATCAGGCCTGGGTGGGGGAGCCAGCCTTCCTAAATATTTCTGTTTTCTCTCCTTGTACATTTGTTCACCTCCACTGCCTTCTGGCTGGAGCTGGGTTTCAGTTTTCATTAAAAGAAGAAAGTGCCATGACCGTCAGGGATGCAGGGCCCCACACATCCTGATGCTCAGAGCCCCACAGCGAGGCATGCCTGATCTTTGCAGCATACTGCCCACGTTTTACATCCACCGGTCGGGAAGATTAACCCTGGGGGGAGGGATATTTCAGCCCCAAATGGATCCCTTTCTTGGGAGATTCCAGTAGTCACTGCCTTTTGACATGATAAGACCAACTGGAATGAGCCACTTAATAAGATTCAGAAAAGGAGGACAAGGGGCAGGGTGGAAGGGAGACGCTTCACTCTCCTCTATCTTGGTATGAGGCAGAGAAATCAGAAGGGATTTCTAGATAGCATTTTTAATTCCTTAAAAGGAGTTTGTCCTTCAGGAATGAAATGCTCATCCTTGGAAGGTATTCCTCTTACCTCAGATTAGGCATGCTCCCCATACTGGCAGTGATTCTGTTTATGGAGTATCCATTTTCTAAGTATTACCTGGAGCATGCCCACTTTTTCTGGAAAGCCCAAATATGGCAATGTCTACTTTAAGCTTGACCAAATCTGCTATCAGATGCACTAAAGGACATGTCCAGAGCAGTGAGCTTCAGAGACACCCTAAAGGCCATTTGCATGTTACCTGCAGAATGTGGAGCTCATCACTTCCTTATCAAAGATTAGACACACATCTGACACTAGATAATAGTATCAGTTATACTTATCATAGGCATTTAATGAAACTTCCTGGGGGCCGGCGCTATTTTAAGACTTTCTATGTGGATACAGTTAACCTAGATAACCCATAGATGAAGCTAATCAGATTACCAGCTGCAGCATCCATTTTACTGATCCGCTTTTTAATATGATGTCACCAGCTTATACTGAGGGGTGTGGTAAGAAATAGGTCAATGCCTCTGTTGTAGGATATTGTCATGGATTTTGATCAAAAGTCGCAATCTTCTTTATGAACCTCTTGGAAGAATTTCCTGTCTCCCTCTCATACCAAGAATAGTAACACTTCTGCCAAACAACTACCTTGTTTTGATTCTGAGATCTCTGAATCTAGAGATCAACTAGGTTTCTTGTTGGCAGTAGCTAATAAAATTCCTAGAAAATCAAATATGTAGCCCAACTGTTAATTATTTCAAGTCATTATGATCTGTTTTACATATCCACCATTTTTAATTTTTGTTTTTCTTCTATTTTTAACTGTCATGTTTCTTTTTTTGTAAACTACCATAAATCTTTCGTGGGACAAAACAAAGGATGAATGGGTAAGCTAGAAAAGAATGAACTTATGGAAAGAATATCTGAAATTGGAATCTGCTGGTCCATTTCAAGTAGCCAAGAGTTGACAAGGACTGACCTAGGTCTGTAGCTTTCTTCCATTCCAGTGAAAGCATATGCCTTAAAGATCATTGTTTGTAAAGTATATCATTTTGATTTTCCTCTTAGCATGGTAAGTATAACTGAAGATTTAAAATATTTCCCCCACAATAAAAATAATATGTGTTTGTTGTGGTAAGATAGGAAGCATAGAAAAATGAGAAGAAAATGACATGCCTGGGAGATTTGTAAGGCTCTATTTTGTAACTTCTCTAAAATAAAACTAAATACGAAATAAAATGCATAAAGTCTTGACTTTCCTATCTACTTATACCCACTGTGCTGAGAAAAGACAAATAGCCTCCTACCCTGGTAGTTTGGAAGAATGTCCACTTGTTCTTCAAAGACGGACATGTAATGCAAGGAATGTGCATTAAAAGCATTTCTTGGTCCTACTATTATAATCTAAATTATCTGTCTTCAACAACTGGAACCAAAGAATGCCAAACTGCAAGCAGGTTCTGCCCTGGGATTATACCACCCACAGCTCTCTTGTATATTTTAGAGGAAGGCTTCTGGTCTCCATCTCAGCTGTTGAATTCTTTCAAAATTGAAGTCTAAAAATGATTTATCACAAGTACAAAATTAAACCATTCAAATATATTACTGAAGATTTGTCTTTATGTAGAGAATCTGAAAGCAATTTTTTTAAAGGAAAAATCTTTATAGCTACTTTATGATCAATATTTCTAAACTCCTTTTGCTTAGGACTAAACATATCCTACACAACTTCTATTTTAATTGCAGAAATGAAAACAATAATAGATGCTTTGCTTAAAGTCAGTGTTTGGGCTTAACTGAAAGAAAAAAGACAGAGATTGTACCTCCAAAATAAAAATAACTGAAAAACCTTCTAACCCATTACTTAAATGTGAATATTCACACTTATACGTAAAATACAAGGTGCAATCAAGAACTTGGTGAATGTTTTTATTAAATTAGAAAAGTTTATTACTTCAAAGACATGTTGCCATTGATCTTCCTCAAAATCTTCCACCGTGCTACAAACACACTTATCCCAGCATCCTCCATACTTTGTGAAGCAGATCTGGAAGTCTTTTCCATGTCTTTGAGTAGCTGTCAGGCCTGTCTCAGTGTCCTGAATCAATTCAAAATGTTTACCTTTCATGGGCATTTTGACTCTGGGGAAAAGCCAGAAGTCACCTGGTGGCAGAAATCGTGACTAAGGTGACTGAGGACACACCAGAATGGTTTTCCAATCCTGTGTTTCCTTTGGCTGGCACGTCAGAGCAGCTTTGACAGTATTTTTTATCGTATCTCCTAAAGACATTCAAGAAAGAGGACTTCCCGAACTGCTTCAGAAATTTGGAAGGATGATGGGATAAGTGTATTCAAAGTAAGGAGGAGTATTTGGGAGAGCGGTGATTAATGGTAATGTATCTTTTAGTGTAAAAGATTTTAAAAATTTAAATATTTACCATATATTTTGATCACACTTTGTAAATAGGCCTGGGTCTCATGGTATTTGAGAAAAAAGAGCCACCCTTCAAGGACTGAGAAAAGAATCAGCAATTAAACTGTAATGTAGCACCAAAAAGTGATCAGAACAGGGACAGGGATTTAGCTCACTGGTGCCACCACCTGCCTTGGAAGCACAAGGTCCTGAGTTCCATCCCCAATACCAAAAAAAAGTGATCAGAACACCCTTCAGTATGACCCAAAGACAGAGCAGAGTGAAATACTACATCATTAGTGAAATAATTAAATAGATCTAAGGTGATTAGATAAACCTAAGGTGTTTATGGATGAGCAAAAAGAGTACTGTCTGAGTTTTGCAAACTCTATTTAAATGTGCAACTCTCCAGGTAGAGATGCTAGTCAACGTGCAATATTATGGCACAATATTTATATTGTAGCTTTCACAAATGAGTCATAGTGGGCTCAGCCCTGTGCTAGTGAGTACAGACATGTTTCTGTGTTCCCCATCCAGAGACAGTCCAGTCCGGAGCCATGCTCCTAGAGTGCAGAGCGAGTGCCCGTTAACATCGATGTCCTTCCTGGTGTCTACCTAATGATCTGAGGACTAAGCTGCAGGTGCAAGGTGGTAGGTGGAGATGAGGAGAGGGAGGAGGAGATGGCAACGGAGGAGTGGCCTACCACACCGCCTCCCTTCCCACCCATTTCTATCTGAACAGAAAACTGAAGATTTGGTATCCAATTCTATACCCAAAACACAGATAGTTACTTGCCATGAGGACCAAACTTCCCTTCCTCAGCCGGCAGTGGTAAACCACAGGTAAACTGTGCTCAGATTGTCCAGCTCGGTGATGACAGTCTCCTGAAGGGGAATGGAACAAGCAAAGCGAGTCCCTTGAAGCATTAAAGAGAAAAACATTCTGGTTCTCTCTAGAAGTGTCCACACCTCAGCTCTATCAAACTGTAAAATATCATTCCATAATTCATATCTTCATGCAGTCAGATTTTTCTTTGGTCTATCTGGAAGCTAACCTTTACTCTGAGTAAATGTGAAAAATTAAATGTTAAATTACCTGCATTCTCACCTGGAACATATTCATATGAATCCAAGAGAATCAGTTGTGAGTGAAATGTTTACTGCTTCCATTTCCTGAATTCCATTGCAAGGGCACAAATGCATCTGTCTAAAACATTTGATTAAGTCTCAAACTTAAAAAATTTTTAAGCCTGGAATTGGGCAGTGTAAAACTGAACAGATATTCTTTTTTTTCCTCAAAAATTTGTGGATGTAGAAGGTCTATATAATATTCCATCACTCCAAAACAAATACACCTTTTACAAAGAAATGAGGCATGCTAAGAAAATATGATTCCTTATGGTCAAACCAAGTATCATTTCCAGTAAAGTATCTTTTACTCTCCTGGTCTCGCTGAACATTGCTTCAATTCTCAGCATCACACAAGACTTCCAGGTCTCAGTGATTCTGAACAAAGACCTTCAAATGATTTCTCTGGGAGATTCAAAGCTTGCTTTCACCCATGAAGAAACTCAAATAGGTCCCATGTCTCACATTTTGCACATAACTTAGCAAAATATTGTAGATGAATAAACTCTTTGATTTGAAAAGATTCTATTATACTAAGCAGAATCAACATCGTGATGCTTATCATGTAAATGTAGACAGGAACAAATGAGAAAATTCAATGTTGTGACAAAATGGTGCGCCCTTGCCAGATGTGGTTTATTCAATTTCTTCATTTAGTTCATATTTATTGAATGCCTCCTCTGGATATGGCATTATACCGGGTACAGCAGGGAATATTAAAATGAATGAGACTACATGCACACACACACACACACACACACACACACACATTCCCATTACATTAGATATTACTCAAACACAACCATCTGTTGGAAAGATCTATGCCGCACAGCATAAAAGAGGTTTTAAACAAAGTCTGCATTTGGAAAAGAGGAGAAATCTTTCTCATTAGAGGACTTGGGGAAGGACTCATAGCCTATGGAATTTGAGCTGAACCTGTAAGATTTTACTGAGTAATAGTTTTCTTCCCACTTCCCACCCACATTAATTTGGCATGATTTTGCCAAGAAGTTAGATAAGAGAACAAGACTGTAGAAGGCCAGAGCCTTTAAAGATAAGAAAATGTTATGATAGGAGAAAGAATAGGCAAGCATTAGCATATGATGCTATATTTATAAAATCATTTTCTATTCTAATTGTCTTTTAAATGAAAATAAAAGCAGAAAGAGATGAGCTCTTTTATCTCAGAATAATGAGTAACAGATAATCAGCAAATGCCCACTATGCATCACATGTTGTCTTTCTAAGAAGACAACTTTGAGGTACTGAGCAAAGTTCAAACCAAGTATATACTGAAGGTGCCGGTGAAATGGTCTTTTCACGTGAAAAGGAGGTGTGTGCATGTGTGCGTGTGTGTGTGTGTGTGCTGTGTATATTTTAAAGGGTAGTCACAACACTGGAATTGAAAGCTGGAAAGACCTGAGAGAGAGTTCTTCCCCACTTTCCCTGCATCATCTGCCATGACTGATTCTAAAAATCTCCTGTAAGTCATTTTAAGTTCATCTGTACCAAGAAACCTGGACTGCTGATGGCTATTTCTTTCTCCCCCCCCCCAATTAAGTTTATTGGTACATTTTAGGTATACAATACAGTTACATTCATCATTGGGATCTTGTACCTTTACATGAGTATCTTGGTTCTTTCTTTTTCCCCCTTCCCCGGCCCTCCCTTCACTCCCTCCACCCTTCCCTATTTGCAAAGACTTTGTTTCCATTTTTTTCCTTTTCTCATATTTTTTTCTTGTCCCTTCTTTCCTTTCCCCTACCCCTCCCACTTCCCCTGCTCCTTTAGACCATTTCTTCCTATTACACGATATCAGTTATACATTTTTTAATTACAATATCAAGATCTAGGAGACATTTCCACAGATTTTACAGAATTTAAAAGGATATAGAAAGCATATTAAAAAAATTTGTTTTGAAATAAATTTGACAACTTCTAAGAAGTACCTTGGAAGACAAATTAATGAAACTAACTCTGGAGGAAATATAAAATTTGAATAGCACCTATTAAAGAAAGTATATTCCTAGCTTGAAAACCTACCTATATGACAACAACAGGCTCATATACATTTTAACTGATATATTATATCAAACATTTAGAGCAGAAAAAAGAAGGAACACTTCTCCCCTCATTTTAGGAAATCAACATTGTGCTAATCCTAAAACTGGATAAAGATAATAGAAGAAAAAAGTATGAACATAGATAGAAATTTGTTTAACAAAACAAACTATTGGAAGTCAGATCCGGCAGGATGTAGAAAGTGGTTTTGTTATAGGGATGGCAGTGTTGGTTCAGCATTGGAAGATCCACCCCCAAAAGTCTGCTGATGGCTATTTCTAAAAGTCAACCAAACACACCAAAACTGTTAACAATGGAGAGTACTCAAAGGTAAGGGAGGAAAAAAATTATTACATTTCCCATATTATACTTCTGCATTTTTAATATATTGCCAAAAGCATGTATTAATTTTATGCATTTAAGAAAAAAAAGGAAAACAATCTGACTTAGCATTCTCTTGCTAAAGTCAAGCATATTTTTATGTTGTTTCCCCAGTGGAGATTTCTACATAATAACCTTCATATACTTGAAAAAAGACACTGCGTCTCTAAATGTTGTTTAGGATCCTTTTTATCAGCGATGGTATTTTTAAAACTGTCTCCATATTTGGTCTGTAATCTAACTCTGTTCTAGTTTTCCATCTACAATAAAATCTCTTTTAGCCAAATTGATTTGGGATTGGGTATCTGGTGAATTGGAAACTATCATCATTTGGAGAATGAGACTCATCTAGATACTTCCACTCACAAATTCAGAGAAAAATCATTCAATTGTTGTTGTTACTTAAGAAGTCATTTTCAGAATATTCTCATTTTGAAAAGTAATTCTTGTCACATGCTATGTATGACATAATATACTACATGACAGATGTAGAATATTGGGCTAATTGTAAATGGTGATAACATCTTAAAAAGTCATTTATATGAAGTATTTGTTGGTATCAACCTACCATACCTGTTAACTGATTCTCTTTAAATTTCAAGTACTGATTAGACTTCTGACCTCTTCCTCTTACAGCTGTGGCCGTGACAAACCAGCACAGGTAGACTCAAGGAAAGAAGGGGAAAGGCGGGCTCCCTAGGGACTTTGAGATTTAGGTAAAAACATGGTAGTGAGTTCTATGGGTTTCCTCTCACATATCCTGGACAGAGCACTGCAGAAACCTGCAACCTGGAACTGCCAACAAGTACAGATAAAATAATGTCTAACAAAAGTCTGTTCCTCTCAGTCAAAGGACCAAGAAAAGGGTGGCCTCACAATGGAAAGTCTTTTTAACAATACCTACCCTTCTCTGGGGCCTTAAGTGAAAATTGCGTCCCTGGCACCATAGTCTCAGTGGACACAACCAGGAGCTGATCATCCTATCTTGTGTCATGTGATATCTGGTGGAGGTACACCAAAATTCCTGCCCAGAGGCAGGACTGATCAGGTACTGATCTTTATTTCCTGCCCAGGGGAGATAGACAGGGCTCCTCTTCTTCCACAAGGACAGTGTCAGCAGAGTCCAGCAGCAAACTAAACCTTTGTTCCCACCTGATATCCACATGACTGTACCAGGCAGGGCAAGTTGGGGCGATCAGCTCTCCACTTCCAGTATCAGTAGGGTCCAGTAGGAGGCTAAACCCCCACAGCCACCAAGCAGCAATGAGACTGAACAAGGATGTGATAAACAGGGCTAATCAGCACATCTGTCCCTTCCTGGCTTCACCCTGCATCGGCCAGGTAACACCAAGAGTGGGATGCAGATCCTAGTTGCCCTAGTTTCCTTCACCTCCTCCCCTAGTTTTCAGCAGAGCCCAGTGGGGATCTGACCCTCTGCCCTCAATCTGAACCAACAGAACTGTGCATCAGCTCTCTATTTTTCCCTTCTCTGGTGACAATGGGGGCCAACAGAAAGCTGAGTTTTCACCTCTATTTGAAGGCAATGAGATGGGAGCAGTCTGCACCTTCCTTTTACTGGGAAGGTGTCCCTGGGGCCAAGGGCAGAGTTGAACTTCTTCCCACACAGCCTACTGCAATGCGGCACTGTGATTCAGCACTCCACCTTTCCCAGGGTTCTGTTGGGAAACAACATACACTCTGACTTCAATCTCAATACCCCAACAAGAGGAATGCCTGCTGACAAAAGAGGATTTAATATGATCCAGAGCGTCATGATATATTAGCAGAATTGTCAGAATACAGTTTTTAAAATCCCAACATGAATGAGAAAAGACACTTAGTAGATACCAACATCAAAATGAATCCAGTGTTAGAATTAGCTGACAAGATTTTTTAAGCAATTATCTTAAAAATACTTCAACAAGTATCTACAAATTCTCTGGAAATAAACAAATAAAAAGCCCCAGAAAATCTTAGCAAAGAAATAGAAGTCATTTAAAAAGACAAACCGAAATTATAGAAGTGGGAAAAAAAACCCACAATGTTTTAAAAAACTTAATTGGTTGGACTT